GCTTCCAACCAGGCCCGTTAGGCTTACATCGAGTCTGGTTGGGAAAGCTTATACGGCGGCAGGTCAGGCTGGCGTATGTTTGCACACCATAGCGGTGTTACTAGCATACCAGGCTGACCTGCTCAGGGGTGGGGCTGCTGAGCGGGATTTGCGCTCTGCTGGATGCGCTTTTATACTTTCTGGTGCTTACGTCACCCTGCTTGTGACGTCTCGCTGCTCCATTGGACTGATTTGACACGTGCTTCAGAACGCGGTCACGCAAGGGCGTTCCCCAAAGCGACTCGACGCAGCGTCTCGTTCCCTCGGGGAACCATGGTTACATACGTAACCTAGAGACGTTCTGTTGGTTTCCACCAGACTATTGGGGTGCAAATAGCTGCACAGTGCTGTTTACACCTCGTGCAAATAGTCATTACGATTAAACAATTTGCTAACAATACAAACAAAAAACCCTTTTATATGTGAGTAGAGTGTTTAATAAATTGCTTCATTACAGATTCATGCCCTTTCCACTGTAAACAACAATTCCATGAAATATCAGGCACCAGGTAAGATTTAGAGGCAATAAAGCTACACACACACAACCACACACCTCTCAAGCAGTCCATTTACCCTCCATTCAAGATAAGCAAAGACATAAAAGGTGTAGAATCAGATAGCACTCGACCATGACTGTATCTCAACAATATTTATGACACAGAACCAAAATATTACTTTCTTATTGTTTTACACTCTATAGAACGATCGTGCCTCAAGGCCTGACACTTTAAGCTACAACATGAGCGATAAGCTGAATTATCTCTACAGTTCAATTAGGGCAGATCTGGTACATTAGTTTTATCAATAAGTTCATCAGATTCGGTTGTAGTGATTTTAATAACGCTGCTGACAAATCCCGAGCAGGAGGTGTTTCATCATGGGAGGTGCTCCTGGGAGCGGGAGGTGTTAAAGGAGTTACAGTCTGATCTAATCTCATCCTGCATGTTTGTTTACAACGGTTATTAACTGTACAGACCCTTATCCGTGCACAAAACACATGCACGGCTGGGAATTAAACACACGCTAGCACTTTTGTCTTCTCACTTTTAGCTCTGTCATGTGTGAACATAAGCAAACAGACAGAGATGAACACATAGATGCACGGAGAGCGAGATTTAGAGAAGGATGTGCGCTGTAAATATGGGGCTTTAATGACCATTTGCTTCCTTCCCGCTCATACACAAGCTGCTTATTCGGAAAAGGCCAGCATTAAATCCTTTTAATGAATGCGGCATATGCCTACTGTACGTGTAAAATAAGACTGGATTATATGTCAGTCAGAAAATATCACCCTGCCCTGAAAGCACAGACCCCGTATACAAGCACATCAAAACTATCAACAAGAGGCAAGGCTGCACCGCCGCACAAAAGACGTGTGTCTCGGCGATTCAAACCGGGGATCAAATAATGCACAGAAAAAGATGGCGTGAAAGAGATGGAGAAATTCTGTCAATACAGAAAAAAGAAAAGGGGAAGTGCATAGCGAGAAATGACTAACATAAGACACATGCACAAAAAAAGTGAAATAAATCCATTTTTTGTGGTGTGTGGAATGCAAAAACCAATCCTCCGTGTTGCCGCTCTCAGACCCATGAATGCGAGGGATCTTACAGTACAGACACAACACAGTCCTCCCACGGGAGTCTATATCTCTCTCTCTCAATGTAGATAGCACATACAGTATGTGTATTTGGCTGCCAATACCGAGCTCGAGGGGGAGGGAAGGGAGCAGATAAAGTAGGGAGAGAGAAAGAGGAGGTGTAAGTGGGAGCAGGCTGAAGTGAGAGAGAGAAAGATAGAGTGGAGGGAAAAGGGAGGCAAACGTCTAATGATCCATCCTTCAGGCCTGCCACAGCGAGTGTGAAATATGGTGCCAAAGTCTCATACTTCATCCTCAGGCCTAGTGTCGTTCTGCAGGGGCAGACAAGCTGGGCGAGTGGGCTGGCGAGGCAGCGGCTGCACGTGTGCAGTCATAATCACAGTACACACACACACACACACACAGGGGATGATATAAACAAAAGCAAAGACCTTAAATTCAAGAGCAACAGTCTTACAAGGCGGAAACAAAGAAAACGCTATAAAACTAAAGATAAAGAAATAGAAAAAGTAAAAAGCTGTCATGTCTTTTTTTTTCTTCTGTGGAACAGAAAATGATATTTTATGCATAATTTCCAAACTGTTCTTTGCCATACAATGAAAGTGAAGGGTGACCATGGCTTCAAGGCAAGATTTTCAGCAAATAAATACTAAATTTTAGTCTTCTCCTCACATACAGCTGTTGTATAGGCAGTGTACAGAAAAACAAGTCACTTGAAAAATACTTTTATGGTGCTTTTTTGTCTTTTTTTAAGCTTGACAGCCTTTAACTGAAGTAGTTTCATGGATGTTAAAAGTTCTTCATAGAACCATAAATGCCGTAAAGAACTCTCATATTTAAGAGTGTATGCTGTATACCAAATACAGACAATTCTGTATGATATGACAATAGCAGAGAAATCTTGAAAATATAGAACAAAGAGTTTGTACCAAAGTTTGAGACATGGCTATCGGAGTTCAGTTGTGTTGAATAAATTAGGTATGAAATTTCTGGGATTTTTCCAGATCTGGGAATCGTTTTTTAGAAATCTTGAATGTGATCATTGGTTTCAGTAAAAAAGCTCAGGTTACTTTGGATATGATTTCTAGGGTATAACAGAGAATATAAAACATGATGTGCAGTAATGAATACACTTTTCATAACTCGGTAATCTGCTATAATCTACTTGGTACTGAAACTTTGTATTACATTTTAGAATTTTTTTGATATATTATTTGTGTAAGTATTATCATTTGTTTGTTTGCTTTGTAAAATGTGAAATGCTTTAAACAAAATATTCAATCTTCCATATGGAAAAATAGCAGCTTGAGCATTATGCAAAAATATCTTTTGCATTCCACAAACGAAAGAAAGTCATACGAGTTCGGAACAACACGGCGGTGAGTAAATCATGACAATTGGCATTTTTGGGTGAACGATCCATTAATAATGTACACATGCATATCCTATATTTATGCAGTTGTGTTTTCAATATTTTCTAGGACAAAAACAAAAAAACATTTCTCTTTTAAACTTCAAAGCAACTCAGTTTAAAGCAAAAACTTCTATTTTGCTGAAATCTAATTCTTTGCAAACCCTTGTTTATTTTAAGCAACCTTATTTACTCCTAGAAGGTTCATATTAGCACCTTTGAGTAGTAATATGTACCTTTAAGGTACTACTATGAACCTTTTAGGGGTAAATAAGAAAAGAAAAAGTCTCTTTAAGTGCACTGCTCCAGTGACGAGCTGTTGTATCCCTAAAGGGAAACATTT